GAGGAGGGAGGGCAGAGTGGTATGAGAACATACACTATTTTAGCGACATGCTATTGACAATCAAATGAAAATCGCATGATGTGAAAAATTTTACAGTTGGCCAAATTATCAATAATCTCCCATTAATCAACCAACAAACTTTTATTAAGAGTCTCCTATATGCCAAATATTATGCTAAGTGTTGGCACAACAAAGGGAAAAAAGCAATAATTATTGTTCCTGCTTTCAGGGGGCTTGCATTTTGATGGGGGAAGTAGCATGCACATAGATGCATGCAAGATATATACAGAGTGGATACAATGCAGCCATAAAAGGGAAGACACTAATCACCAGGAGGTTGGGGGGAGGGGTGTCAGGAAAGGCATTGGAGGGGATAAATTAATTCATAATGGCTACAGTTGAAGACAATTCATAATTACCTAACATTTATAGAGCCAAGAGGGAAATCGTGTGAAAGAACAAGGTCATGTCACAACTTGCAGTGTTTTGAGAGCTCAGAAATAAGGCAACATGTTTCTTCTGCAGCCTTTGTCGGTGAGAAGTAATGGGAACAGATACCGGCAAGATGGTCTTAAAACGTGTTGATAGTTTGAATGGGATTTTAATAGGAGAAGCTTTAGTGCTGGTAATAAAGGCCAGTTTTATACCAAGCACATGTCTTAACTATAAACTATGTGGACTCCTGCTCATTGTCTTCTCAAAGAGCAGAAAAGGAAATACACAGCAATTGTATGGGAAGGATTAGGTGATGTATAAAAAGGACTTAGCTGGGGCTCTTGAAGACTACTTTAGACTGTCCCAAATCTTGGGGGGTTGTTAGAGACCTGTTTCTAACACCAGCACCCTATTAGGTTAGGTTGGATGTTGGGATGAAATGAGACACTTGCAAGGCACTGAATATTTTAACAAAGGTAGAAATTGACTTTGACCCAACAACAAGAATTATGAAGAAGAAGGCAGTGGTCTTGGTTCCTCTAGATGTGTGTCCCCCTCCCCCATTTTACCCCACTCTCTATTGGGACATGCATGTAGAGTAAGTAGGTCTTCTAGATATGGTGACTCATATAGTCTTAGGCAGCCACCAAATCTGAGAAGTACAGACTCCATGTGGCTGGGACTTTTTATGCCTCTGGATGACCAGGGAGCTGCATCAGGGAAACCAGGGCCAATTAGGTCCCTGGGCAGCTTTGTCCTGGGCCTTTGGCATGTTGGGTGTGGGGGTAGAGAGAAGGAAGCTTCATCAAAAAAGCTGAAGAGGATCAAGCCCCAGGGCCTCCTTTATCTTCTTTTTGGTAAGGTTTGCCCATGTTTTGTGTAAGAGGAAGGAAGTTCCATCAGAGAAACCCTGGTTTTATCACAGGGGTCCATCTTAATGAAGGTAGGGACTGGACATATTTGTGTTTCTTTCCTTTGGAGAAGCATGGAAGTTTTTCAATCCAATTCAATTTGATTCAATCAGTGTTACCTGTGTGATCTGGGAAAAGTCAGTTCATCTCCCTGGGCCTCGATTTCCTCATCTGTAAAAAGAAGGTTGGGATCAGATGATTCCTTCTAGCTCTGTGATCCTAATATCTTATTGCAGGACACAGTGCTAAGTCTTGTGAGAAATGCCAGTAACCTAGGCCAGGAAATAGAAGAGATTGCAGTTTCTATTGGTTAATCAGGTCATCAGAAATAGAGGCAAGAGTAGAATGATGCATAGCTGAACTTTACCCCTTGACATCAGAAGTAGTATGGCATAACAGAAGGAACACTAGGTTTGGAGCCAGAAGGCCTGGTGGAGAGACCTAGTTCTGACACATACTACCTCTGTGACCACAGACAAATCACTTTTCCTCTTGAATCTTACCTTCCTCAACTGTAAAATGGAACTGTCACTACTCAACAATAGTTATTATGATCACTACCACATAGAGTTAGTATTTAAAAAAATCTTTGTACAAGTGAAAGAATCTGTAATTTAAAAAGTCAATTTCATTGTCATATTTGTTTTTATATAACCTCCATCCCCCTCCCCCAGGCCCAGAGATCCATCATTTTAATAATAATTTTTTTTTAAAGAGAAAGGGAAAAACAACATTTTAGCAAAACCAATGAAAAGATGAAAGAAGTCTGATAGTATGGATAGTATTCCACATGATAGTTCCCCAAACTCTGCAAAGAAGCAAAAAAGATGCTTCCTTATACTATTCTTTGGGCATATTGTGACCTTGTTCACTTTAATTTCACATCATTCATTTTTAATTATTTTGTTATTGGGGTACTTTTCATTTATATTGTCACAGTCATTGTGTATTTTGTTTTCCTGATTCTGCTTATTCCACAGAACTTACAGTGTATCAGTTCAGATAACTTTTCCAATGCTTCTCTATACTCTCCAGAGTCATCATTTCTCACAGCACAGTTACATCCATGTACCACAACTTATTTCTGCAGTCATTTCCCAATCAACAGGCAACTACTTTGTTTCTAATTCTCTGCTACTGCAAAAAGCTTTGCTCTAAAATTTGCTATTTATGGGGACTTTATTTGTCCACTGCCATCCTTGGAGTATATGCCCAACAATGAGATCTCTATATCAAAATACACATTTTAATCATTTTATTAATGTAACTTCAAATTCTTTTCCAGAATGGTTGGACCAATTCACAGCTCCAGAAATTCTCATCTTTTGGCATCTTTGACCATTAAGGGGAATAAAACAAAAAGTCAGAATTATTTTGATTCGCTTTTTTTCTATTATTTCTGATTTATGGATTTTTTTTTCATATACTTGATAATAGCTTAAAGATTCAGGTTTTATCAACACAGAATTTTCCTGGTGTGACAACTTCCTCCTCCAGCACAGATTAAGCTCCTCTCTTCATGAATTAATAGACACTTCCTAGGGAGCCACTGGAAACACATAAGAGTTAGACAACTTCTCCATGCCTAGAGTAAGCGTTAGAGCCAATGTTCAAATCCAGGTACATTGCACCTGGTACAAATCCAGGTACTTGGTGATTTCAAGTATGAAATTATCATTTTAAATTTTAAAAAAGAAAAGAAAAAATACACATACATACACATATATGTACACATACATATACATATATACATGCATGTATATGTAAATGTAAAAGAAGAAAACACAGAACATAATGAAGAAATAACAATTTTTGAAAGAAGCCCAAGAAATAATCCCTCAAGAAGATAATAATTCCACAAAAAGTATTAGCAAAACCTCAGAGAGGAAAAAAAAATGGTTTGGTCACAAGGACTAAAAGAGTAGCTAGAAGTAAAGAAGCAAACAAGAAATTAGAACTCTTGAAGAAAAACAAAACAACTAGAAGGAGAATAAACAGTTTAGTAGAGAGGGAAGAAAACTGACCTACGTAGTAGATTTTTTTTTACAAAAAAAAAGAAAAAAGATGGTGTAATTATAAGTCAATAACTATACGAACCAATAGAAAAATATTTTAACAAAGTCAAAAAATAGGAGAAAATTTTAATTTTTAAAATTAAATAATTCTAATTTAATTTTAGTAATTTTAAATACAACTGATCTGGAAAATAGGTCCAAGAGATTTTCGTGTCTGTGTGTGTGTGTGTGTGTGTGTGTGTGTGTGTGTGTGTGTGTAGAATGAAAATTTTAATACATGAATATGGCAGTCATTAGATATGACAAGTACAACTTTATTCAATTCTGTCACAACAAACACCCTTTTAACAGACATCACTGTGTAACAACACAACAAAAATTCTGAGTCTCCACTTGTGATTGTGATTCACTCAATTTATATCACATTTCATTAAAACAAAATTCAATCCCTTGAAAACTATGACCAAACCAAAAACATGGGCATCATATTTCAAGAAATCAAAATAAAACTGCCTAGATCTAGTAGAACTAGAAGACAAAGAATCCACCTAACCCTCCCTGAAAGAAATTCTAAATTGAAAACAACCAGAAATGTCATAGCCAAAATATGGAGGTTCCTTGTCAAAGAGAAAAATATGAAGTAGCCAGAAAGAATTAAACTGCAAAGGAATCTTATAAGACTGTATTGCAACTATAATAAAAGAGAGCAAATGATATATGATGATCCAAAATATAAAAGCTTAATATCCAAGAATAACTCACTCTGCAATACTGAGTATAATCTTATAAAAGGAAAAATGGACCTTCATTACTCAAAGTCAATCAACCATCATTTATTAAGCACTTACTATGTGCCAGGCATTGTATTAAGTGCTGGGAATACAAGTACAAGTTGAAAGAAAAGCCTTCCCTCAGGGAACCTACATTTTAAGGGTGGGGTGTGTGTGGAGGGGAAGCCAATACATAAAGGGAAGTTATAAGTGGGGCTGGGGGAAAGATAAAGAAGGGCTACTTTATAGTAGACAAAGTCAAGAATGCAGTAGTCTGGAGAGGAATGAGAATTGGTTGACTTGGGTGCCCTCCTAATGTGAAGGTTGTGGGAGGAGCCATCTGGTCAGAGGGAAAGACCCATGGGAGTGGACTGTACTTCCAATGTGTGATTTACCTGGCTGGAGTGAGGCTTCAGAATGAAAAGCTGGAGCATGGTATATGAAGCCCCAAGTACAGCCTGGAGAGGATTGAAGAATTGTTGAGTATAGCCTGGAGAGGAACAAGGAATTATTAGGAATTCCTCTAGTAGAATAGTGGAATGTTAAGCATCCCCATTAAAAAAGCCCAGAGCTGAGTCGAAACTGTAAAGATGAATGTAGAAAGATAAACGTGAGTGGCTAAGGGATAATGAAGTGCTTACATTCTCTGTGTCTTCTACTTCCTGTCTGAGTGAATGAATCTCTCTGGGACTTATTTTCTCATCCATAAAATGAGGGGGATGGATTAGATCATCTCAAAGGCTCATTTGAGCCCTAAATCTGTGATGCTCGTTTGTTGAAGTTTTGGACATTCTACCTGTGAGATTATGGGCTTCTCTTCTTGTCCTCAGTTTTCTTATTTGTTGAAGATTCATTATTTTCTTCTTTAGATCGATGGCATTAGTTCTACACTGAAAACTCTTAAGTATGCTGTGGGGAAAGTGAGGACAAGCACTCCTATGTAGATTTCTTCCCTCACCATCAGTAAGTACTTTGTTCTTTTTACCCTCCCATGCTTTGGAGGTGGCTCATTGTGACATGAAGGTAAATAAACACAAATAGGAATTCTTGACCGAGTTTCTATTGACCATTGAAACTCCAGAGGGCGGAAGAGTTTGTAGAGATTATAATCCATATCTTTGGCTCTTAAAGGTTTTCCATGTCTGTGCCCCATTTCCAGTGTTGGTATTGCCAAATGTCACTATGGGATGGGATGTTCCAGGGAGAAATCAGAGGAAAGCTAGGCCTTTCTCTTGACTCCAGGAACTGGGCTTCAAGAAATAAGATTTCAGACCAAATGATGTCAACGTTGTGATAAAATGCAAACGGCTTACGATAAATGGAAATGCCTGCTATGGAGTCAATATTCTTGGACAAAGCCAAGTTAGGTAAACATTTATGCTGTGCAAGGCACAGGAGTTCAATAATAATTGCTCACGTTTGTATATCTGGCAAAGCACCTGACATATATTTTCTCTTTTCATCTTTAGGACAATCCTGAGAAATAGGATATACAGACATGGTGATTTCAGTTTTAGTGATTAGGAAATTGAGCTGTAGGGAGATGAAAGAATTTAGCAAGGAATATAGAGTTGGTGAGAGGTAGGCTCATAGATTTCTATCTAGAAGGAAACTTAGTGATTATGTAGTCCAAGCACAGATGAGGACTGTGAAGTGAAAGTGACTTTTAGCTTAAGTCACTCAGGTAGGAAGGAACAAAGCCAAGATTTGAACTAAGGCCATCTATCACTAAATTCAGGGCTCTTTCCAAAACCCAGGTTATCTGATTTTCATATAGAACTCTTTCTATCCAGAGGTAGCCATGGAGTACTTAATAGAGAGCTGGCCTTGGAGTCAGAAAGATCTGGCTTCAAGTTGCTCTTTTGACATAAAATGGTGGTGTGAACCAGCCTTCTCCACCATGCTCCAGAAACCCCTTCATTGTGGAAGATGACTCCAGCCTCAGAAGACTGTGCAGCCATCCATCTGACTGGATGGCTCCTTCTAGAACCTCCATTTGAGGATGGTACTTAGGCCAGTCATGTCAACATTCTAGATTTTACAAGGAGTGCCTGATACCCCTGTCATCTAATTCTTATGGAAGACGGCAACTCATTTACCATACTCTTCTTTTAAAATCTTCATTTACCTGTCAAGTTCTTCTTGTGCCAAATGAGAGTTGGTCCTCTTTTAGTATCAGTTACTATTATGATTTTTTGATAGGTAAACAACCTCTAGCTATTTCTCACTAGGCTGTAACAGACTTCTCTACCATCCTCCCCTCCTCCCATTTTCACATTACTTTTCTGTGTCATCTTCTCACATTAGGATGTAGTTCCTTCAGGACAGGAACTGACCTTTTGTTGTATCTGTATTCCCAGAATTTAGTATAATGCCTGGCATGTAATAAGTGCTTCAGAAAAACACATTCGTTTGTCGTTCTCGAGGTAATTGTCTAAGATTATAAATTGCAGAGAAGGTGCTGATCTGCATTGGTAGATGGAGTTTTTTCCTTGTCGGTGAGTTCCATATAACAATGAAATCACAGGCCAGGTCTTTCTATGAGCCTATGCTTCTTTCTTTTAGGACCTCTTTCCTTTAAGAGGAAGCAAGTGAGGGTGGGAGGAATCCTTAGGTGAGGTTTGTTTTACAAGTGAAAGAAATTGCCCCATTTTACTGGAGATCCTGAAACAGTATGTAGGTAATTTCTGCTTTCCATGAGCACTTTCTAGAACTCAGGGGAAGGCTTTTCAATGGCCTGGGGGTAGGAGTGATGGCTAGTGGGTGGTTTGTTTGGGTGATTTTAAATAAAAGAGCTGGTTAGTCAGCCTGCCTTTGTCTGGAAGAGGCCATTAAGTCTGATGACAGGACCTGTCAGTGCCTGAAGCAGGACCACAGAATGGAAGGTGTAGTTAGATGCTTATAAGTAGAATGAACACCCATCTCTCAGGACCTGACAGAGGCACGGCCTTGTCAATGGCTTTAAAAGTCAATTTAGTTGGACAATAGTAAAATTCTACCTTTAAGGTGACCAGGGCTTTTATTGAGCATTGATGTGCAGATGGTGCTGGTCTACAGAATATATAGTGCTGGATTTTATAAGGAACTACAGATACCCTTGGAAGAGGACAACATATGTATCATACCCTTCTTCCTTTCAAATCTTCCTTTGCTAGTGAAGCTCTTCTTGAGTCAAGTGAGAACTAGCATTCTTTTGGTAGCAGTTATTGTATTTTATTTTATCTTTTGATAGATAAATAACCTCTATCTTTTTCTAGCCTGTAATAGCTAGATGGAGGCTTCTTGGTGAATAATGATTTTGCCTTTTTCTCTTGAGTTTTCTTCTAGAGTTCAGAAGGTTCAGAGACACATTTCCCTTCCCCTATCCTTTCCCATCATGAAGAACATTAACAAATTACAGCAGAAGCACAAAGGCACTGGGTGATTTGTGCTTTAATGTGGTCTGAGAGGAGAGTTTAAGGATGCAATTCCTGAACCCCAACCCTCTGTGTAGAAAAGGAGAGAATTCTCTAGGCAGCCCGAGACTAGACGCTGGCCTTCTAGCAGAGATTTCCTGGGCATCACCAGCTTTGAGAGTTGTGTCATGTCACATCCCAAATTAAAGAGGTCCTCTGTTCAAGATTTTAGGCATCAAATCTCCTAGAGAAAAGATTTCCTGATGTAGCATGTCCCTTGGAGAAAGTAGGGGGCAGTCCATGTTATTTCTGGGTGGTGGCCCACTCAGAAAAAAACAACATTTACTTGAACGGTGCAGATTTGATGAGGAGTTTGCTTGTTCAGCAAACTTTAGAATATGTTTACCTTTCAAGGGAGTTTAAACTTCAAGGTAATATTACCATAATATTCTTTGGAAAAGAAGGACCCTAGGATTACAGTGAACTCAAGTTCAGTTCCCTTGCATGACAAAGCTTATGGTTTATTTTGAGTGCTTTATGTTTCTATACTTGTTTATAAGCTCCCGAGAGATCTTGTCATTTTATGTATTTTTCTTCAGGGAGAAAGAAAAGTTGCACCGCCCCCAGTTTCTTTCTTTCTTTCTATTTGTTAAAGTCAGGCAACATCAATTTTTGATGCTATAGAAGGGCCATATGAGGTAACAAATTAGACAAGATTACAAAGAGAAGCTGATCTGAGAAGGAAGCTTAAAGAAATGATTTATACTCCCCTAATTAGACAAGATGATTTCACTCTAACGTGACTATAATCACAGGCAGGATTGAGCCTTTTAAGCTTCGGGAACTTGTTTTGAGCTCAATGAATGTCCAGAAGTTGAACTGTTTATTTGAAACTAATTGGAATGCCTTTGACTGAGAAACTTGAAATTCAGGTAAATTTCATGGTTTCCACAATGATCTCTCAGTTTCCTGCTTTGGGCCAGGTTAGAACAATTAGAGACCATAATTTCTCTTACTATTTTGCAGTTATCTGCTTTGTTCTGGCATCTGATGTAGGCCATCTGAATTCACACTGGTTTTGGATGAGGTGCTGACTGACAGTGAAATGGTCACATCTACCAGGCACCTAGCCCTTATCACAAAATAACAGAACAGTTTTCAAGTCTTCTGATGCCCACAAATGGATTAACTCAATTAGGAATAGCCCTGAATTCCCTTTTCAGTCTGAATGGCTATACTAATCAATGGATGAACCAACCAACAAGTATTATGGGCCAGACACCAGGCTAGGTACTGGAGACACAAATACACTGAATGAAATAATTCTTATTTTTAAGAAACTTACATTCTAGTAGAACACATAACAAGTACATATATAAGTATCTACCATGTCAATACAGATAAATCTTATTTGGGGGGAAAGGGCACTAGCACCTGAGGTGATCCGAAAAAGTTTCATGTAGAGGTTGATCCTTGAGATGGGTCTCAAAGGAAGAGAGAGGTTCTGTGAAACATAGGAAGTAAGAAACAAGTATTTATATAGTGCCTACTGTATGCCAGGCACTATGCTAGGTGTAATACTCATGCTGAAAGGTAGCTACTCTTATTATCACCGTTTTTACAGATAAGGAAACTGAGGTAGAGTTTAATTGACTTGCTCATTGCATGTAGCTAGTTAAATGTCTGAATTCAGATTTGAACTCAGGTCTTTCTGACTCCAGTCCCAGCATTATATACATTACCCCACTTAGTTGCCTCTAGTAAGAGATGAGGAGGGTATGTATTCCAGATACGCCAATGCAAAATAAGCAAGATGGAGGAGAGAACATAGTATATGAGGAATGGTCTGCAATAATTCCAAGTCTTTTTACTTCCTGAGGTCATCAAATTTCAGGGAAGGTGGAAGTAAGAAGCACAACTTAGCCAGCCACTTGGTGACCCTTTAATAATGAAAGCCAGCCTAGCCCCCTTCCCCTAGCCTTCTTTGAAGTAGCGGGGGGCCTGGAATAGGTTGATCAGGTTTACAATAAACCCATTTTACATCCTTAGGAAGCGTACTCATAGTTTTGTGCTATAACCAAGACAGGTATGTGGTGCAATGGATAGAGCACTGGGCCTGGGGTCAGGAAGACCTGAGCTTAAATCTGCCTTCACATCTGGGCAAGTCACTTCACCTCTGTTCGTATCAGTTTCCTCAACTATAAAACAGGGATAATAATAGTATCTACCTCCCAGGGTTGTTTTGAGGATCAAATGATATTTGTAAAGCACTTGGCACAGTACCTGGCACATAGTAGGTGCTATAGAAGCACTAGCTATTATTATTATTATTATTGTATCTCAGGTTAGTAGTATTGTTTATTTACTCTCCTGAATGAAGTTTCATGGCTATACAGCAATCAGCTGTTGATAAAGAAGCATCCCTAAGACTCTTTGGAACATTCATAGAATAGGATCATAGCCCCATGGGTCACTGGGAGGCATCCCATTCTTTGAGATCCCTGAGAAGAAGATACTTATTTCCTTACATGTGTATATGGTTCATAACTATTTTGGGGCCCCTATCAT